GCTGACAAAACAATTGATAGTCAGCATCACAGATCAGCGCATATGATAAACGCCGCTTTTGGAAGACCCCTCGAAGCTTTCCTGGGATAGAGCCATAGAGATCGCTAGGCTCAAAACAACTGCACTTGAACAGTCATATCTGTTCACCAGCATAGAATCACTCGAAATCAACAACCTTCGGAACACGAATCCTACGACATTTCAAAAGGGGAATGTTTTGTGTTTTCGACGAGGAAGTTCTCGACACAAATCATTGTCAAACGTGTCAGGCTCGTACAGTAGAGTGCAGAAGCTGTCGTAAGCGGGACCATTTCGCCCGGTGTTGTCGCTCCCGCCGTGTAGCACTAGTTGAACAACCGTCGACTGAGTCTCTTTCTGCATCTGCTACCGAAAATATTTTTGCGGTTAGAAAACTTCATCTGCCAGACAATCGTCAACCATTCTTGATGGGGCTCAAGCTTCCTTTCCTTGACATTCGTGCTCTTATACTCCATGGCCCCCAGACCACTGTGCCAGTTGTGATGGAATTAAATGCTGTATCGCCAATAACATTCATTTCATCTAGCCTTTATGACGACTCCATTCCGTACAAGTTTAACTCTTACACCAATGCCCCTGTGTGCATCCGTGGACATAGTGTGAGGCAATTCAGTCTACAGTCGGTCGCGTCTGACGTTGCGGTATACGTGGCATCTGAACACAGCCTAGCCTCGCTGGGATGAAATGCTATGGTCGCTCTTAACACAATGCCATCCATAGATCGAATGCGCATCATGGCAATCAATGCATCAGTGCTTAAAGGTTTATATCTAAAATTATTTACAGAGACGTTTGGTCGGATTCCATCTGCTGCTCATCGCATATTCCTTAAACAGCCGTTTTCTATATCACAGCCACTTCCTATTCCGTCGGTGATACGTGCGATGGTAGAGAAAGCAATAAAGGAGATGGTATCCAACGATCTGGTAGAGTCAATTAATTGTTCCGAATGGGTGCATCTCATGGTCACGGTCATAAAGAAGGGCGGTACTGTGCGCATACGCAATGACTTAAAAGCGTTGAATAGCCTGATCATCCTCGAAAAGTTCGTTCTTCCCACAGTTGATGAGTTGCTAGTCAAGATAACTGGCTCACGATTTTCCGCAAAAGTAGACCTGAATAAGGCTTTCTCTCCACACGCCTTTGACACCAGATTTGAAATCATTAACGACTTTTCTGACATCGAGCAGTCTGTTCCAGTATAAACTTTTGCCAATGGGGCTCAGCTCCGCACCGGCAGCTTGGCAGAAGTACATAAATCATTCACTAGCAGATCTACCGGGACAAGTCGCTTACATAGATGATATCTGCGTTTGCGGACCTTCAACAGAAGAGCATGATTTAAGGCTACGCGCTGTATTACACCGGTTGGAGAGCCTAGATCTTCGGCTTAATCTTGAAACGGGTGCATTTCGTTCTACCGAAGTCGAATTCCTTGGGTACATCTTATCATCCGGTGGAATCCGACCATGCGCCGCTGATAATCGGGCTATCACGGAAGCCTCCATACCGATTAATGCATCTGAGATTAAGCAATTTTGGTCTACGCTCGTACAGCTTACGCTCTTTGCCCGATTTTGCTACCCTAGCGGAGCTATTGAGAATGCAGTCAAAGGAAAATGGCACCTTCGGTTGGGGCTCTGACCAGCAGTCTGCCTTTGAAAAAATCAAAACATGCCAATGCTGACCATTTTTGATGAAAACTCCCCTACGTTCTTCTCGACGGATGCGTCAAACGTCGGTTTAGTAGTGGTCCTGTCGCAGATGCAGAACGGAGAGAAAAAGTGATTGCATTTGTTTCTAGAAAATAATCCTCTACAGACGCTTCATACTCCGACGGTGAAAGGGAGACCCTCGTCTGTGTCTGGGCCTGTGCAAAAGGGTACCTATTTTTGGTTGGGCGGGGGTTTACATTGCGTACAGTTCACGCTGTTCTAACTACTCTCCTCAGTTGAGGAACTAATGCAGGTTAACTGCTGGTATGCCCGTTTACTGAACTATGCTTTTCAAATCATATTCCGCCATAGCTCCGAAAACACTATGGCAGATAGCTCATCACATCTTCCATTGGACGATTCCTATAAGAATGAGGGCGACGAAGAAAAGTCATGGTTTCCGCTTTACATTCAAGTGAACTTTCCGCCTTAACTAACCAAGAGCTTTAAGAAGCTATCTAGGTTGACCTAGATGTGCAAGCAGTTTTCTGCTACCTCTCTGAAGGCTGGCCTGACTACATGAAGCTCAGTGGTGAACACATGGCGCTCTATCTTTTAGGACACGAAGTAGCGCTTATTGATGGTTACAATATGCGAGGATCGAGATTCGTGCCTCCACAGAGACTAATGTCAAATAGTATCCAAAACGCTCGCTTGAGATATCCGGGTACCGTACGAACGAAGAAGGACTACCTTTGGTGGATGAAAATGACTACGATGGCAAAGGCGTGTGTCCGACCTTACGATACGTGTCAGAACGTCGACAAGAGCTCTAAGCCGATCGACGTACTCAGCCAACCTATCGTTTATCCAATGAAACCTTGGTCGAAAGAGGCGATTAACACCATGGGACCATTCCATTATGTACCGCATCACCAGAGAAAGTGTTTAGTGACCACGTGCTTTTGCAGTAAATGGCCTGAGAATCACCTTTGTTGCTATGTGAAGACTTCAACCGTTATACGGTGGCTAAAGCATCTGTTTGCTAGATTTGGACTTCCCGGACCGCAATTCACAAACTACGCGTTCCGACATTTCCTACAAGTTCAGGAGCTAAAACACGTACAAACTGTCCCGTACAATCCAGCTGCCAAGGGAATGATTGAGCCCCCAAAGCGCTTGTTAAAAGAAAGTATACAGACAGCACGTTCGTTCGGCATGCCTTGGGAATATGTCGTAGTCGATGCTCTGTTTTCCCACAGAAGGTCGCACCACACATCGACCGGTCACACACCAGGGGAGCTAATGTTCAGCAGAAAGTTACGCAGGAAGTTAAACGCAGCTATTTAGGCTACGGAAAACGGCGATCTAAACCAACTGGAGCGTCGCCGACGTTATGGTTCCTGTAGCGAAAAGCAATCCATACCGTTACGTCCCGGAACATTGGCCGGCTAAAGAAAAGGCTGTCACGTAAAGGGTAGCCAGCATCATCGCGCCCAGCAGAATTACTCGGACACCAGGGCCAGGAACGTACGAGCTAGCAGACGGCCCCGAGTTAACGTCACGCAGCTTTACTCAGCCCCTTCATACGAATGCAGATGCAATGTCAAAAAACGAGGTCTAAAGCATGAGGCCTAGCATCTTAATTGTCACCCATACTGACGCGCTCTTTTAGAGAGGGGGTGACGTTGTATCGCCTACCGCAAGTTCCAGTCATGTCTGTCAGTTCCCGCACTGAAGCCTGAAAATGATTTGATGGGAGTCGTCGATTGGTAAACATCAAAGTCAGTACGCCTGTATCTTACCTGACTCACTTTTGTGAATGGAGTGTCCAGAGCGTGTTTTCTCCGTGTCCTACTTTCGTTAATGCATTTGGCCCGTAGTGATTCAAGACCGTGCTTGCCTAAGTGCCTAGTGTGCGCATTCGGATACAACGCCAACCTACCCAAAGATTCCTAAGGAAGTATATGACAACGGAAAGGTAATCAACTGTGGCGTGACTACATCTTAATTGCGATGCACGGAAAAACTCCAAGCCACCCAGGGGAAACCGATGTAGTTTTTGCTTTTTGTCTGAATAAGCTCTTGGACACAAGAGAGAGGTTGACACACTGGAAATCCACAACAACTGATTTGAATTCAAAACTTTCTGAAATCATGAAATTCCAGCCTGTTCCGAGTCGATTCTGAGATATGTAATGCAGTGATCCTCAATTTATGCTCACGCATACCCAAAAGAAGAACAGAAGTTCCTGCTAAATTTGTAATGGTCGTATACGCCGGTCAGCTAACTAGGTTCAATGTATACAATTACCTTGCAAGTAGATTAACAGTAGGAATATTTCGATTAAATTGGAGTGGGGCACAAACTGGAAGAAACCACGTCCTACGTTAAGTACTCTAGAAAGTCAGAATAACTCCGTGAAAAAACAACGACTATCAACATTTTGGACGCTGGGGTTTGATGTATCGAAAGAAGGCACTACTGTGTCAGAAATCACCAGCACGACAGGAAGGAACAAATTTAATCATGTATAAGCCAACTGTAGATAAAAGCAAATGTTTAACTACAGAGATACTCAAGAAGCTGCGGATGTAGATGTGCTAAGAAAAACGCAAGAAGAAGCGCTGAAGGAAGCTTGCGAACAAGAGTTCGCCAAACAACATCCCGTACGATGTTCGATGTTACATGGTGCTACAGATGGCAACATCTATTACAAGTTGTGGAGGTTTCTCTAAACGAGTTTTAGCATCTCTTGTTTCTGAAAAACTACTTTCATTGGTTCATTCAGAAAGTCTTTTTGACGAAATGTTTGTCTTTTCCAAGCATGTGAAGGAATTTAAATTCACCGTTTGGCTAGTTGTTGCCGGTGAAAAGCCAGTTGGTAAAACACGTGCCGGTTGACACCGTTACACACCAGAGCTACTCGCAATCACAATCTGGGGCCGCGATGGTAATGTGGCCAAAACATTCAAGTAGAATCTTTTTTCTACTTGTCTCACCCCTAGGCTTTATAGGAAGAAATGCTTGCGCGTCATTGTTCTAGTGATTTGGTAGAACAGGTACTCTGGCAGTCACGTTTTATAACCATCCACTGCTCATCGGACCAGTTTTTAAGCACAAGCACATGCGGTGCTGATTATTTGCATTGCCGGTTTTGGCTCCGTACATCCACTAGAGGTACGCGCTTGCACAGTTCCACTCTTGTGTATGCAGCAGGCACCTGTCAGAGCGTTAAACGTATGCGTAACCCAAAGAAAGTATATAAAAGTACCTTGTGTGTACGTGACCGGAAACATCCGGGAATGGAAACATTTTACTATGGCCTGTGCTCAGTTACTCAAGTGTATCTGATTTGCTGTCTAGTTAAATCACTCACAGAGAGCCTACCTGTGGAAAGCACTTCTCCTCGTGATGGTGATCTAAAACTCATCGATGGCCCATCGCCTACGACGGGAACGGTGCTTGTCTATCGAGGATACAGCTGGGGTAGGATTTGCGACGACCACTGGACTATGCTCGAGGCGCAGGTGGTTTGCCGGCAGCTGGGAATGGGACACGCTCTAGAAGCCCATCGAAGAAATCGATATGGATCAAAGATTCAGGGTGAGTGATCATCAGAACGAATCACCATAAATCAACATTCACGGTAAACGCAGTAAGGCTGGTGATAGATTAGTACTAATAAGTGACGGTCTCGTATTTCCAAGAAACGCTTATGTCTGTATCTGGGTCAGTAAGCTCGATAGTATGCAGAGTAAATGGAACTGGTTTTTCACCATTGGCAACTGAAAACCTGATGCATTGACCTATTTCTACTAACCTGAGAGTGTATTTTTATACACATGTGCAACATCACGCTCGAATTCAAGATGAATACGTTTACTTACGTCTGACCAAATTTATCTCAGCTAAAACTGTGCTTTTGAATATTTTTCAAGCATGAAGTTTCAGCACCATTCGTGGTTTCCAGTGAGTACCAAACAGTGCAATCAAGCCCCTAACTTTGTACTCATAGCAGCATAGTATTGGTACTTATTCCTGGTGCATAAATAACACCTGTTTTTTCATGCGCAAAGCGGTGCTTTTTAATGCGAATCCACTGAACAAGCTTCCAAATCAATCAGTTTTATACGCGAAAGAGACGGCCGGTTTGCTCTATTCGGACTCGTTAGTAGTACACATCTCTTCGTTCCATCAGCAACCGAACCCGTTTCTCTTTGGCATTAATGGATTTCTTCACTAGACAGCAGCTTATACCGGGCGTGTGATAGCTCATCAAAGTTGGAAGTTACTACCACGAACTCAAGATAACAAGAACACGCTCGTGATTATAGGTTCTTTCAGAAACCATAAGGGATAGTATGCCGTTTTTGACTACCTATTGACTTCAGAAGTAATTTGTTAAAACTATTAGTCCAAACTTCTCTATTAGAATTGACAGCATTTTTGACTCGTTGTCAACTTTTGCTTGTAATAGGTGATAATGAATGAGTAATCTTGTACCTCAAAAGTGGCTTATAGGTGATGGTGCGATGTTTACTTTTACTGCGATCCTAGTATGAGAATACTGTCCCTTCACATGTATTAAATGTAAAGAACTTTCGTGTAGAATTTGGTCGCAAGGCGGACATCATTTAATCACACAAGTCAGCATACCTGTTACTGCTGTCAACTTGTTTCTACGAAACGTGCAATCAAGTGTTTTTATTCGCCAGCCACGTACCTCATGGATGAAGTACACTGCACCGGGCGAGAGCAACGTCTGACTGACTGTCGCTTCTCCGAGTGGGGAGCACATGACTGCAAACAGAATGAGGAAGTTGGCGTCAAGTGTTCCGATAATGCTCCGGTCATTCTGAAACCGGCGTGGAACCCGCTCAGGCTGGAGCTGAATCGGACCGAGTTAGAACGCTTAGCATCCGTGAGTTCCCTAGGGCACTCATTCAGACGCTATTTTACATTCTGTCTGAACTTTGTAAACAATAGACTTAGTAGAAATAACGAGCAATTTTTTGATATCCAGAACGTCTGCAAGGAAACAATTTTTCCCACTACATACGGGAGCCACCGTAAACGACTGCTTAGTGCAACTGGTAGCGAGTATCCCCAAATTCACATATGGATGAAATTAAATTTTGTCACATATTAACAAGTGTCTTATTGTTAGCGTCGAGAAGGAAATACGATAATCAAAATCGTTCAGTTATAACTCCATACGATAAAACATTTAAAATTTGGAACAGCAAATATTAGTCCATTAAAGGCAAACACGAGTTTACAGGTTAGATTTGCTTTCATCTTTAAGCTAGTATAGCTTGTACTTATACTCAAACTAGTAAACAAACCTTCCGTGTTCGACGAGGACAAATAGATTAAGTGTTTAGATCGCACAATGAGTTTCGTTTTACAAATGCTAAGTTCCTGTGAACAAAAATCATTGCCCGATACACAAGTAAATAAGTAAATGGTATATTTCTCCCGCTTCGCGAGATAAAATCCAACTAGTTGGCCTGATCAATTTACACAGCTGAATCGCAGAAAAAATAGAATTGTTCAGTTAGCTAAAGGTGCTTCGCAGAGGAATTTTTAGATTTGTCGACCAGTTGAACGTATTAGAAAGACAAAACGTTTAAAAGTAAGAATACGTATCTGTATAGCCAAATCGAAAACTTTACTATTAAAGCATTCCGTTGACCGTCCCTCGTTGATCTAATTCCATACTAGGGAATCTAGGATGGTTTCAATCGCTTGTCCACTCCGAATCTGTTAGAGTATTACTGTGGTTAAGAGGCAACTGTGCAAATAGCTCATTACTTCCAATTTATGACCGCTGTTGTTTACAGTGAAAACTTCGAAGTTGACTACTTCTAATTCCTAAGTACCTTACTAACTTGACCGCTTTTTCATATCTTGAACTCTCGCCACGTAAACCCTACTAAACCAGACTTCTGTAGATTGGCCACCTCCAAAAGGTGGATGTTGTGCACTTGGGCCATAACAGTCTTTATTCAGGTGACGTATATTCCTTGGCCATGTGAAGGTTTACTGTGCAATGTTCGCCGAACGACTTAATTGTTCGGATAATAACGCGTGTTTCGCGTTTTTGCAATATTTGCAATTCACCTGACCAATAATCACTGCGCTTTACAGATGCGCAAACGTTTGATGATACATGCCCACTCACTGTGTATGTGTGTGCGTTTTGGTCCTGCATATCGGTGTTTAGGCGCAAGTGTTCACGTGCAGTGTCCCCACAGATCCGCGTCCACCGACTGACCTTGACCGATTTGTGTGAACCCATTCCTTGGTTGGCTGCGTCCGGTTTCGGATATGCCTGTCACTGTGGCGAGCCACAGGACGCCTGCGTCTACAAAGGGACTATGGGTGGCTTGCGCTGTACTACCCACAGCTCCAACCACACACCCCATATCCAGTGTAAACCCGAAGAAATAAGACCGGGAGGCATGTGGATGGGAGCCACGTTTCATCAACGGAGCCGGTCCACACTCCTTCAAAGGCAAACACAAGCACGCTGTATTTGGGGAATCAAGCGCATACAAGGCGGTGGCTGGACCGTAGTCCGCTCCACACTGAGTGCATGGAACCGCTCTTTGAGCCTAGCACGGCCACAAGGACCGTGCACCCCGTCCCCTCCAACAACGACCAACTGTCTCCTAGAGCCAGTATGAACGAGGTAGTGGGTAATAGATAGGCAGGCACCTTATCAACATGTACATCAAGCGCAGCCACAACGGGGATATCAAGCAACAGCCATACACTTTAAACGACAAGCTGAAATTAAAAAATCTAATAATGCATACAGATACAGTAGCATAACTCTTCCCTAAATTACCATATGTAGTAAGTTGGTTAGCAACTAACCTGCGATAAGTAAGAAATGTCCAGAAGTTACTTAAAAATGCTACAAACGCAACAAAATTACCGAAGATAAGTGCAATTAGCGTAAGCAACGTGGTCAGTTAATAGAACATTATTCAGGTACGCAGAACAAACCAAATGTTTCCAGCTCAAAAGGACCTAGTTTAAGTGTAATTTGGTTTAGCCCAACTACGGTGAAGAAGCATCAAAAATGCAACATCAGCCTCAGCATGTGGCAACTTCGTGCACTATGGCCACCCTGCCTCACCTGTTTCCTCGCCTCAAACGGACATCTCGTTTGATCGCTCGAGTCCTTTTTGCGAGATCGTTTTGACTTCCTTTACAACGGGCTCAATCAAGCCAGGGGCGTGACCCCGTGTTCCGAACATGTTAATTGCCAAGTTTGCGTTTGTCCGGAACTGTGCTGAATTGGCCTAACCTTTAGGGCTCGAAGCCAATTGGCGAACAGGTCCGTGCTGCCATCTTATTGTCCAATGTTAGCACGCACCTGCACGAGCGGATGGCTGAGGCACTTGTAGCAAGTCCTCAACTGATGGTCCTACGCCCCAACTGCGTCTAGGTCCAACAGCCATGCCGGCATATTGTCCGAATTTTAATGGCTGACAGCACTTGACCACTCGGGACATCGTGGGTGCAATTTCCGTGACTATCGGATCATAGTTTTGCGCCAAGGATGCAAGCTGCCTCAGTAGGGATGGAGCAATTGCGGTAAGGATGCATTTAATTGAGAAACGGTATAGAAACACGTCTATCCTTTAGTACAGTGGTTCACAAGCTGCGGCTAATTGCCCCCAAATGGGGTAAAATAGACTTACATAGGTGCTAACAATAAGTACGAGGAGTGGGTCCTCAATCTGTCGCTAAACCATATTAATAACAAAATCATGTGTCAAATCACGTAGCTAACTACCTAATGGCCGTTGGTTACCCATCAGTGACTAAGCAGTAGTCAGTGAACTAAACAGTTTTCGATAATAAATTTTAGCATCGAAAATACGAATACAAGCCTGCAAAGCAACACAGCTAGATGGCAACTCTGTTGGCTCGGTCGTCGATCGCTGTCAGTCAGTCGTTTGCCCATCCCAGTGAGGCTGGACCTTACAGTCGTGCGATGATTTACGAGCCGCAGAGATCCATCGAGTTATGGTGGGTGGTGCCTTTTTGTATCTTCAGAGCCACTCTTGCCAGGTTGGTCAATGGTTAGAGACCAGATGCTTTGTGTGCCTCAGTGATCCATTGAGCTATACTGGGTGGTGCTTTTGCACCTTCAGAGCCACTCATACCAGATTGGTCAGTGGTTAGAGGCCAGACAAACTCAGCCTCTTGGTCCTCCACGTTGGGGGTTGGAATGAGGGTGGCTCCTTATTCCTTAAAACGGACTCCTTGTAGTCCACTGCCAAGCCCGCTGCCTTGCGGCCAGGTTTTTGAACCAAAGGCTTTGGTTGAGAACCCTAATCGTTCTCCTGTCTAGGCTTGAGTATCCTGACAGTGTCCTGCCCACGCAATACAATGAATTTCTATTCAAACAGTTTCTTGATGCTCTGGCCATCGCAGTGGATAGTACATCGCGCCTTATCTGCTGCATCGAGCAGGGTGGATAGGGGTTTGGATGCTACTGCTCAAACCTTCCCGTCTTCTTAATTACCCTCTTACGCCTTTACAACCTTCTCGTCCCGTTCCAACTCCACGTTTGTCTACCCAGTTTTCAACCCCCGATTCTTGGCCCTCCCCCAACATGCCTTGCTAGGTGTTTGTCTTCTAGTTTCAATTCACACGCAAACGCGGGCGTCACTCCTGTCCTGTCGACAAGCCCACGTTCAAGTAAGCGTTCTACTCCAGTTCATCGTCATCCATTTGGAATCCTCGATCTTCTTTCAGATTCGCACGCCTCAATGTGTGCAAGTTGCTACAGATCGGTCAACAGGCAGCACTCCTAAAATATTAGAGAATCTCTTCATCGATACTGCTGCTTATCGGAGATCCGCCTGCAAGACTGGAGCTCTGTGATCACTCTGCGATCCCCTTCAGGTGACACCAGCAGCACTTTCTCATTGCGCCTATCCGGTAACGATGCAGCTTCGAGCGCCGAGCAAGCTAATGTTGGCATTGCTCTAACTCCCGAGCTGAAGCTGCTTTGGTTGAATGGCTCCCAATCAGTAGCGGGATGTGTGTGATCCGATTGGCTGGCTCATTCAAAGCTTTAAGTCGCGCGGGACTAATAGATGAGTATTCCTCATCGCTGTCTACGCGGCCACCAACTCTACCGATGATTCGGTAACAAATGACTTCTAACGCCAACTGAGCAAGTTCCTTCGCTACAGAAGAAGCACGGACACTGTTGTGCTGACTGCGGATCTGAACACTCAAGTTGTCCACTTGTCCACTGATAAACTGCATCTGAGTGGCCAATACGGCGTAGGCTCCCGCAATGATAACGGTAATTGGTTACTCCATTTGTATGGAATGCTCGCTTATTTCTTGCGAGCACTAACTTCCGACACAGCACCCGCCGGAGGGTGACTTGGCGCCCACCAGGCTTGAACCTGCCTTGGACGCAAATCGATCAAGTTGCAATCAGTTACGGATGGACAGGCTGCTATCAGAACTGTCGCTCGAATTGCAGCACATGTGTGGACTCCGAGCATGCACTAGTAAATGCTGACACGCGGATGCGTTTTGACCGACGCCCACGACAACGCTGTGAGTACATTGACACCAGTCAACTGGGGAAGCTAGCTGTTCTGAAGGCGTATGGAAATACGCTGATGCGAGTTGAGTAACCGCTCACTGAAGACAATTGAAGGTCACTGATCGCATGTTCACCAGACCTAACTAGCAGCAGGTAAATGCTTATGTGGTAAGTCTACTAGCCAACATGGACATTGGGTCTCTTCGTGGTCTCTAGAACTTATCAATGCACGCCGACATGTGCCGGCTGGAGGCAAGCACAACGAAACTCGGAAAGAGATCCTGACAAAACTCCGTGCTAGCCTGAAGACAGACCGCGAGTACTTGTGGTCT